ACACAATCTGTATTGTTAAAAGCGCTATATATATATATAAAAAAAAAGTATATATACATATAATTTATGCATTTAGCAGATATAAAATTATTATATACATATATATTTCCCCCAGGGGAAGCCGCCACACATAGAGTGTAAGTCTGTGGGAAACACTGATAGTATATGGTATAACCATCTGATTCCATGAATGTAGCACCAATACTAATGTTGTGTGGCTAATAATGTAGATTCAGTCAATGATCTGTTGTGCTTTTGAAGAGCCACTCATTGGTTTTGAGTTTGATGTGAATAGGCGCTGCTTAATTATACTGGGGATGCTCATTATCAGGCCTCATTACAGACAGACACTCTTATAGTTTCTTATGTAGGTCATGCTGCTATTCAAGCATGACATCAGGCCAGATCAGAGAGAGACTAGTATGACATCATGATGTGATCTTTGAAGAGGCCCTTTGAAGAGGCTATAAAAAGCCTCAATTGACTCTTCAGGTCAGTGGATCATCTCATATGACTGTCTATGGAACACCTGACGATGCACAGTAAAACTCAAACTAAAACTAGATGCATGCATGCTTAGATACATAAACAGCAGAATGGTAATATCGCAAGGATTTCCCCTTGAGGGGTTCAAACCTCCAACTTTTAGTTTGTTTTTATTGCAGATGTGGATGTGGACAAGCCTGATGAGAAATCCATAATGACATACGTAGCTCAGTTCCTGAAGCACTACCCAGATCCCCACCAATCTGAGACAGATGGACAGCAAGAGGAGGTACGCTCTAGTGCTTATGCTCATGTATGAGCTAAAAATACACTAGCCGCTTGCTGTTGTTATTTACTGCAGTCACTGCTGTAGTGCTTCCTCATCAGTCACTAACGCTACTGTAGTCCATCACAATGTGGAATCCATTCAAGGAATCATTTTACTCTAGAATCACACCCATAATGCATTGCTCTGTGTGCTCACTCTGTATCTCTGTCTGTGTCACTCGCCGTGCGCATTTGTAGCTGGTTCGTTCCATTCCTACATTCGCTCTCTCTATCCCTGCTCTACAGGTAAGAGTTGATTACGTCTCACCAGCATGAGGTTCATTTAGTGTATGGGACATTCTCAAGAAACAATGCCATATGTGCTAGAAAAGTGTAGGAAACATGATTTAAACACTATCACAGTAACTTACTAAATTACATGAACATACATATGCTTATAATTGAATATAAAATACAATGGATAATTGATCATATAAATACTTTGAATAATTATTAATAAATTACACAGTATAACTATGACAAGACACTGCTCATTCAGAACATGTTTTGAGCAAACCATGTTACATTTAAAATGATTTGGGGTTAAAGATATGTCAAAATCAAATAAGTTTTAGTCAAAAAGCATCACATTTTTTTTTAAACATATTTTTTATTAAAGGGAGAAATGTCACAGCATAAGAACAGAAAGTGAATGAACAGTGACATTTTATATATATATATATATAAACATATTGTTATTTACAAAATATAAACATTTTAAAAACTACATAGACAGTGGAAGCATAATATTTTTATTTAAAAAATAGGTAGAATAATTTTTTTATTCAATATATTTATTTTAATTCCATACAATTTTATCCTTTTTTAAATTCTCATTAAATTAAAACAGAAAATAAGCACATGTACAGTACACTGACAGATGAAAAGCAAATATTTCACAATAAAACAATAATATGTTTAAAATTTTGTTTTGCATTATAGAATTTACAGAATTTAATATACCAAATAAGATCAGTATCTTGTTCATTAAATAAGTAGTAAGTTCTGGAGACAATTATAACACACAAATGTCACTGTTTGCTGAGAATGGTCTGTCGGTGGTGGATACTCTTTGCATGTTTCCTCTCTTTCTCTGGCTTTTATCTTGCTAACGTCTTGACTGTGTTGTGTTTGCGTCTCTTGATGTGCCTTTGCTCTCCTGGACAGTATGATCCACAAGATATTGAGCTCATGCTTGAGGTATGTGTATATTAATACACATTATGTGTATTAATATATGTTCTATATTAATATATGTACACGTTATGTTCTTTATTCTTCTTTGGGACTGGACTCTCTCTTAGTTTTCATCGTTTCACACTGCTGTGTTACCTTCTGTTATAAGGGTTTCTTGCTGAATACCTGCTAAGCGAGTGATAACTCATTGTTTCTTTCTGTCTGATGTGAACAGCGAGAGGAACGCAAGGTGCTGAGGGAGGTGAAGATCTGGCTGGATCAGCTAGAGAGAGATTTACTGCGTGCACAGGGATCTGAAGAGAGTCTCACCGACAAATATCAGGTGAACGCGAGAATTTTCCACGATCTTTAGAATTAAACAGGCTGTTTTTGATGCTTTTAAGACTTCAGTAGGCAAATGTGCTCTATTATGATTGGCTAAACTCTTGAACTCAAACTTTTGAGTTTGCTATAAGGTCAGATGTATTTATTTCTCCTCCATCCTCCTTTTTTGACTGCAGGATTTTAAGAGTTTCCGTGTGCAGTATGAGATGAGAAAGAAACAGATCGAGTCTCTCCTGCAACCGGTACACAGGGACGGCAAACTGTCAGTGGACCAGGCCGTGGTCAAACAGGCCTGGGATCATGTGTCTGTCAGGGTATGTGCTTTACCAAGTGTAATTAAAGTGTTTGTTCACTTGAGGTGTGTGATATCACGATTTGAGGAAATATCGTAGTATCATGCTCTAGTAGTTTAAGTAATAGACATTAAAGTAGTTTTTATAAACATACCTTAGGGAAAAAAACACTACTGGTGTGCATCTTCTGACAAAATAATGGAACTGACCTATTTTAAGATCAGTCAGTGTAAGATTCTTTCAGGTAAAACAGCCCAGACATGCATTTTAGTCAGCGACTAGGATTAAGCCTCGTCTGTGAAACCGGGGGATAGGTGTTTAATTTAATTATATTCATATTTGAATTTAAGCTGGAGATTGTAAATATTAGCTGTTATATTTGTCTGT